GTTTTTCTCGTCACTGAATTTGGAAATGTATTGTTGTGCAATGATGGGTTTTTTTTAGGGTGGTGGATTTCATTTATCAGCCGGTGAGTGTCGATATGGTGATTAAGCTCTGCGTGGGTTTTTGAGAGAGTCGTCGGGTTGCGAAGGGGAAGAGTGAGGGCTCATTCGATTGTTAGGGCAGTCGTGTCAGTGCCTAGGGCTGTAAACAAGCTGAGCTTGAGCGAGTTCAGACTTGGCTCGTGTTCGGCTTGTTCGAAATAGCACGTTTTCGAAATCGTCTCGTGAACAGTGTGTTCGTGTTTGGCTCGAAATTGCCTCGTTAAACTAAAATTGAGAAAAATAAATGTAAAGTGTGATATTCGAACATGGACCAAATATATACAAAATAAGGGATTAACCACATCATCACATGAAATATTATGATTTAAACTTAGATATAAATATATATAATATATTATTATACAAATAATATTCGCAATATATTATTATATAAATAATTATATAATTTTTTTTATTTCGAGCTAAAACAAGCCGAACACTAGCGAACAAAGAACTGTTCGTGTTTAGCTCGTTTATAATTCGAGCTTTAGCTCGTTAGGCTTAACGAACGAGCCGAACACGAGTCGTTCAAGAACAACGAGCCAAATTGACAGCCCTATCTATCTGTGCCAGCGGTCAGGAGAACATGCAAAACAAAAAGTTGGAATTTAGATTTACAAATATACCGCTCAATTTCTATGTTTTTAGATATCTTATCCTAACGAAGATGATTACACATGGACAAGCACATATGGGGCAACACTACTACATAGTAAATACTATGTAGTAAATTAAATCATAAATATTATCAAGAATAAATACTATATACTAAATTAAATTAATTTATTATCTTGGATAAATACTATATAGTAAATTAAATTATCTATTTGATTACTAATTTTTAAAACTTATATCATCATTTTATTTTTTAAAAAGTGAAATATATCTTAGCATCCATAAATAAGATGGGTAGGTATGTAAAATTAAAATTTAGGAGTTAGATATGTAAATATATAAAAATTGAGTGTTATGTATACATATCTTCCAAGAAAAATTTTAGCATAATTATGAAAATAATTAACAATGAACATTTTTTTTTTATTAAAAGCATTCTTTTTTAGCATAAAATTAATTTTTCATTAATACTGCCACTAAACACTGCAATAACACAAGAATACTACCGGTAAACAACTCGAATAACACCGGTTCAGGCAAAATGTGTGAATAACACAGTGTAACTCACCAATAACACCAAAAAACCGCACGAATAACACTGTAATAACATCTGAATACTACCGCAAATAATATCGCGAATCAATAGCTCTGGCAAAAGACGCGAATAACACCGTGAATAACACCACGAATAACACCGCGGGATCTCACCAATAACACCGCAAATAACCCTATCGGAGAACACGAAAGGGCAGAGCCGTAAACAATTTTCTCTGAACGCAAAACGCGGGGTCGAACCAGCGTGCGGCGTGTAATACAAAGGGAAACCAGCTTATCAACGGAGAAAACAAGCATTAATATCACCGTATTGAAAAAGCCCCGCAACTGTTTCGCTACGCCAAACGGGCCCTTCTATGCACAAGAGGATGACTATAAGGATTTCGATTAATTGATGATAAAGAAGGCATAGATATCTAATATCCGGACCTGCTGACTGACTGCTTTTATTGAATGCTTGCTATTTTTTTCTTTTACTTCTTCATTGTTTCATTTGTGCCAGACATTTGAGCTCCTCATATATTTGTGCTTGTATGCTTGATTCAAGATTTGGATGTGTTGTATTATATTTTTCTAAGATATCAGACTTGATCTATTATTGTTTACCAATTTGATGTTGTGCTTTGTTATTATATTACTTTTTTTTCTTTCATGTATATATATATATATATATATATATTATTACACATATGTTTAGACTAGTTAACTTCCTTATTATATACATGTGTAGTGTAAAATAAATTTATGTGAGGGTCTTTTTTGTATAAAAGCATTGCCATTTAAGTAAAGTAAATATCTAAATCTTAGGATTTAATGAAATGAATGCTAATTTGATAAATGATTCAAGGTGATTTAATAGGAGGTGAAGAAAATCATTAGAAATAACATGAATTTTTTGTAAGAATTGAAAATTTGGTACTCAAAATCATTAGATAAAAACTTAAGAGAATATAATTATTTTCTATAAAAATTAGAAATAAATAGTGATAAATGAGAAAAAAATTAAAATAAAAAGAAACTGAAAAGGCTTTAGTAAAAAAGTAAAATAATATAAGAGCTTTAGAGTAAAAGCTTGAGCTTAAATTTGAATTTGAAAACAACTTAGTGTACGTCTAGGGACCTGGTGGTTGAAGTTGAAATCCGGCGCTTGACATGCATCTCTCAACCTGGTGAAAATAGAGAAGGCAGAAACCAAATGGATGAGTTGAGTGATACCGTGACTAAACAAGAGATCTCTATAGAACAGAGCTGCTGGAAACCTAACTCTCAAAGTTAGGAACACGGCACGTGCCAGGATATTAGTGACTCTACAGTTGTATGGACACCCAGCACCAGCCGGGATATTAGTGACATAGAGCCCACAATAGAAAATTGGTGCCCGCCTATTTCGCTATTACACACATAACAATAAAAGTGACTGAAAACCTAGCGCTCAAAGGAGAAAGTCTGGTAATCCAACCGACATAGAAAATTTAATCAGTTTCTTATTTTTTTGTCATCGCAGATGCCTTAAAACGCTCATTTTTTATGAAATCATGGTCGTCCTTCGCCATCATTAAAGCATACAAAACATGGAGACAACATGGAGTAGAGTGTCATATCAATTCAGCAGATCCAGTTTGGGTCTAACCCAAAACTGACATGACAGGATTAGGGTTGGCCCAAACCTATTCCGAATGCAATACGTGTTGAAAATCTCATCTCGAACCAGACACGTTTAACCTGTCAACTATAGATAAAATCAAATCAATATTTTTCCAACAATGTGCTAAACTTCAACCCAGTATGAAAGATAGCAAGAAACATTAAAAATAACAATGTAATTAAAATATTATGATTGTTTTATCTCTTTCTCATTGCACATTGGAATATGTACAATAACCATAGAGAATTATATATATATATATATATATATATATATATTACCTTCTCTTCCTCTTTTTATTAGCCAACTACTAAAAAGAAATTCTCAATCTCTTATGTCTAAAAAAAATTAATCACCTTGAACAAGTAAAAGAAGGTTGTTGGGTCTTTGTAACAATAGGGACCTTGTGGCTACTTCATATCAGAGAAAATTAAGTCATCCCTTAGTGGTCATAGTGGCTACAAAACAAATGGATTTTCATTATTTCTTTGGCAACAAATAATATTTTCATAATGGCGAGCTAATTTTTCTCCTCATCACATGCAAGTTTCTACATGAAAAACACACAAATTTATGCACAACTAATAATATATGACATACCCAATAAGTTTTCAGACATAAAGAAAGTGAGGGAGAGAAGAAAAAATTGTTTACGCAGATCCAAACAAAACGTTACGAGAAAATAGCGATGAACAATCCATTTTTCCCTTATAATAAAAGAGGTAGTTATGTACATTCCACACAATTCATATGTATTTATATATATAAAACTTAAACTTTTTTTATATGGTTATACCAGCTAAATCTTTCATATCACATCGAACACCATTTTAACCCTTGAAAAGTGAAATACAGTATTCACGCATGAGTAAGTTGGCATATATGTAAAAATTGACATTAAGATGATAGATACGTAAATAAATGAGAATTGAGTGGTGTGTGCTTAGATCTTCAAACAAATAACTATTTCAAAGTTTACAAACCTTGGCAAAATGCAATTAAAGAGTACCTCTTAAATGTGAAGCTCAAAAGCTATCGAACTCGCAAAAGTTGTCCAGCTCCTAACAAAACGAGTGATTAAGACACATACACCGTAGCTTCACTCTAAAGCACGTTAAAAGAGTTTCTCTTGGTTTTAATGCACCAATCAGCAATATATTGAATGTTTAAGAGGTAAATTGTTAAAACCTTTTGCATGGGGAGTTCTTCTCAGAAAGGCCAAAAACCAAAACCTATCAACAAACATGCAGTATCACATCCATCTCTCTTCCTCAAAATTTTCAGATACCATGCATGCCAAAAGGTTAATGCTTCTAAAGTAAAGAATAAGAAGAACAAGAAGAGGAATAACAATCCCACCATGTCAATGCATTACATATCCCGTTTGAAACTTGTTAGTATGAAGAAAAGAAAAGAAATCACTTAATGCTTACTAATGGAATATTTCAACCAAAGAGATTTGTATTCAAAATTAAGCCCAAAAAACAATCTGAATAAATTAATTGATTTAGGTTATTAATCCAATCCTCTATAAATGAGATAGAGTCGACATGGTTCAAGATTACCTAGATCAATTATGATAGCATATCTATTGCACATCTTAACTGGAAGGTTTTATTTATAGAAGTAAGATTTTAAATTATAAAATTCAAAATATTCTATGAAATTAAAGCACTTAATGCTTAAATAAAAAATTATTATATAAAATTATTTTGGTTATCTTGAGTACACTGAATATACTCTGAGAATGCATAAATCTATACATACATTATCCATATATAATTTTTTTTCAGTTGCAAGACCCCTTCTTCTTGCTCCTCCCAATAGCCTTGATCTTTCCGGTGTATCATTTGTTATTGTAGAATATTAGCTAATTAGAAGTCAACTATCTAAGTCTATATATGAGTTTGTTCTCTTCAAAATAGAATTCACCAAATCAATTCATTCTCTTCTTTTACAGAATTACCCAAAATTTTATCTTTCTCTCTTCTTGCTTCTCTTTTTTGTAATGGAAGCCATCAACATGTTCACCTGCTTAGTTCTCTTCCTATTTCTCCTACTAACCAAACTCTTCATAAGCAACAAAATGAATAGGAAGAAAAATCTCCCACCAAGTCCTCCTAATTCTCTTCCCATCTTTGGCCACCTCCACCTCCTTGAGAAGCCCCTCCACCAATCTCTGGCCCGTCTCTCTACCGAGCATGGCCCTCTTCTCTTTCTTCGCTTCGGAATCTACCCTATCCTCGTTGTCTCGTCTGCCTCCCTTGCCGAAGAGTGTTTGACTACCAACGACCTCGCCCTTGCCGACCGCCCTCGATTTCCTTCAATTTCTGCCACTACATATAACTACACCAGCCTCCCGTTCGCCGCCTATGGACCTGAATGGCGAGAGATGCGTCGAATTGCCACCATCGAAGCTCTTTCGAGTCAACACCTAGCCTTCTTTGTTGACGTTCGCACTGATGAAGTTCGGGCCCTCGCCCGACACCTTTTTCGTAACTCAGGGAGGGTGGAGCTTAAGTCAAGCTTGTTCGGGCTGACAATGAACATCATGATGAAGATTATAGCAGGTTTTGAGTTTAATTTGAAAATTTATGGTCAATTTTTTGCATTATCAACTGTAAAAAAATTTTCAGGGAGGAGATATTATGTGGAGGATGATGAGAAAAACAAAGAGGTATATAAGTTTAAGGAGGTGATAGAGAAAATCACACTTCTTTCTGGCGCGACCAACGTGGGAGATTTCTTGCCAGCAACGATCAGGTGGTTTGCATGTGGAGGAGTGAAGAGGAAGATGGCAAGGTATCACAAGTACAGAGATGAGATTATTCAGACAATTATAGAAGAGCACAGGAGGAAAAGAAGAGAAGAGAATGATGACAATAGAAATATAAATTTGAAGGAGAAGAAGATTAATAAAAATATGATTGATGCTCTGCTCTCTTTGCAGGAGAAGCATCCAAAGCAATATACTGATGTTTTCATTAAAGCACTAGTTTTGGTAAGTTTCTCATGTGAGTTTTTTTTATTTTTTCTTTATTTATTTGGTGTTTAATTAGGAAACAATTATTGGTGCTAGTGATATTCATTTTCTTGCAATGACTTAGAAAAGTTTTTTTATTACACTAAATTTCATAAAGTTTAGAAAGGCATGAAAAACAATGTTGAGGTTCAGAAATTTTTTCCTGCATACACTAACTCAAAATGTGAGATTATTAAATAATAAAAGTATGATTCCTCTCATTAGAAAATATGCTATTTTGCACATATCTAAAAGAATTTCAAATTCTTTTTTTTCTTGAATATTGACTAATTTATTTTCTATTTTTTCTTAGAGCTTACTATCTGCAGGCACAGACACTTCTTCAAATACAATTGAATGGTCAATGTCTCTTTTATTAAACAATCCTGATATATTAGAGAAGGCAAGACAAGAGATAGATGAGCAAGTTGGACATGACCACCTCCTAGATGAATCTGATCTCACCAAACTTCCATACCTTAGTTGTATTATCAACGAAACATTTAGATTATACCCGGTTGGAGCTCTCCTACCTCACGTAGCAAGAGAGGACTGTAAAATCGGAAGCTATGATGTGGACCGAGGCACAATGGTTTTAGTAAATGTTTACAAGATTCATAGAGACCCCATACTTTGGCCAGAACCTACTAATTTTTTTCCCGAAAGGTTTCAAAACTTAAAAGTAGAAGGGGGAATGTTAATGCCATTTGGCATAGGGAGAAGAAGTTGCCCGGGAGAGGGGCTTGCGTTGAAAGAGATTGGTTTGGTGTTAGGAACTTTGATTCAGTGCTTTGAGTGGAAGAGGATTGGACTAGAAAAGGTTGACATGACACAAGGATCAGGCCTCAGCATGCCAAGAGCAAATCGTCTTGAAGCTTTTTGCAAACCACACCAATACATGATCGATGTGCTATCTAAAATATAACTTTTTGTTCAACTTTATGGTGACAATCATAAGACTAAATGCTATGTTGAATAACTCGACTTGTGAACACGTTATAATGTGTAACACTTGTTTATGAGACAAAAGAATAATGTGAGCTTGTGAATTATAAAGTGTGTTTTTGATGAATTTCAAATAATGTTTTGTTGTTATGATTTAAGTGGTCAATGGTTTAATTGATAGCTTTGATATCAAGTTTAATGTGATGGCATCATGATATCTATACATGAAAAAAATGGGCTCAACTGAACTTTGATGAGACCATAGACATATCCCTTCATCAAAGATCAGTGTTTTTTATCTTATAGAAATAATAAAGGAAGAAATTCTATTTTGTATACAAATATGAAAATGAGATTCTTATATGATAAAAAAAAAATTATGTGTTAATTTGAGTTAAGGTTATCCATCATATTTACCTCTCCCACCTTTTCCACCTCTTCTTTCTCCAAATTATGAAATGATTTAAATTTTCATCTTAATTTGATTTAGATTTATGTTATTATGATCTAAATTTATATTTTATTATAATTTAAATTCACATCTAATTGTGACCTAAAAATATAAACTATTGGGATTTAAAATTTTATTTTATTTGTTGAAAACTTTATTGAAAGATAATTAAATAAATTTATGATGAATTAAGAAATTAATGCAAAAGAAAAACTATGAGCTTGTTAAAGTTATCAAATCATTGCATATGTTGCTATGTATGTACAATAATTTTCACAAATATTAAAGAAATAATTTTGCTAAAAAAAAATTAATAAACCTTAAAACTAATATTGTATATTTATGCTAAATTTTAGTAGATAAATTTGAAAAAGATAAATTTTTTAAGATTTATTTTCTATTTTTTTAAGAAAATAAGTTTCTATATATGTTCGAAATTTAAATTTGGAATTATATGTTTAGAGTTTTACATCAACATTTAGGGCCCGTTTGGGCAGCTTAGAAGTGCGAGGGCGTTTTTGATAACGTCGCGGTACCGTTTGGGTCTCATTTTTACACTAAACGCAAGCCGCAGGTCGAACCCCGCAGTCGACCCGCGGGCCGCGTTGCAGATCAACCCGCTTATCCTGAAAAGCACAAGCTGCCCCAACACAATCTTACTTGTGATTTATAGTTCGGTGCTTATTCTCTAGATAAATTAAATCAATTTTTCAATAGTTTATATTATATTTATGAACTATTTTAAGTTTTATAATTATTTTCTATTTTGAGGCTTTTGAGGCAAAATGTTGTAGTTTCACATTTTATTTTTTAAAAGGGATAATTACAAACATAGCACTCAAAACATTGTTACTTGCAGAACTTAAAATTCATCTGATATTTTTGAACTATCGAATCGATGTGTTTATGTATGTCACGATCAAATCATTGAGAATTTGATAAAATGGAAAATATGGGTTGGGGTTTTACAATAATTTTTTGATATTTGAGTGGAAATTTGAAAAATTAGATGAAAGATGGAGCTAGATTTGTTAATAGCAATGTTTCGGGAGTTATTTTTGTTTCAGAGACGGCACTCTGAATTTTGCATGAAGATCGCTCAAAAATCGATTAGAATTTTGGATCGAATTGAGATCAAAATAAATGAGCCGAGCTATGAGCCTAAATTTTGAATCCAATTCTTTTTGAGTTGATTTCGAACCATGCATGAATCGGCTCGAAGTAACTCTTAGAAAGGCGTATAATATTTAATATTTATTAAAATTATATATACAATACTAAGCAAAATTGAATACCCCGAGCTAGTTTTGAGCAGATTTCGAGCTGGAACAGATCCAAATAACTCAATTTGAGCCAATTAGTTTCTATTTTGAGACGGATCAAGCGGACTCTAAGCTGAAACATCCAAATAACTCAATTTGAGCCGTTCCATGCATGACTCAAAATTGAATTTAAGCCAGCTTGGCTCGAAATTGAATATAACGAGCCACGAACCATTTCCAAGCAGCACTAAATCAAATATTCGAGCCAACTTTGAGCCGACCTCGACTCAAAATCGGATCTTTAACAGCCCCACTCTAAAAATAGATTACTACTCCTCCCATACATCAGCCAGTCATAAGAATTACTTAAAAAACCATTTGGAAGATTTACATGCATCCAACTCAATTCCTATGCATTTACTTATCTAACACCCAAGACTTCAATTATTTACATACAAGCCATCTTCCCTATGCATGAAAATGCTCATTCCACTTCTTAAAAATTAAAATGGTGGTATTTTTAATGTAATATGGAAGATTTGTGTGTCATAAATGTAAAAAGTAGGTGTTATATATGTAAATACATATGAATTGGGTGGTAAGTATGTAAAAGGAGAGTCTATCCCTCCACAACAATCCCTTGATTACAAATTTAACATTGTGTCTAATTACATGTTATGATCTATACAAGTTTATTGGTTGACGATCATGAAAACTTGTCTGTCATAGTTTTCCTAGGTTTCACCCATTGTTCATCTGTATTTGTTTCTGCCAATTCATCCATTGTTAATATGTTGTTGTGTTACAGTAGACATTAACATTTTGCATTACACCAACTATTTAGGATTCAGCAGTAACAGAGACATCTGAAACTCCTACTTACCTCGCCGCAGACCATCTCCGCCGATAGTTGTTTTCCTCACTGTTCGAAACCACTCCAAAGCCTTTGCCTCTTCACGCAACCGTCGATCTCCCCATGTTCATGCGATCAGCACCGCCCCTCGCATCCATGTAGCAAGCCGATCACCTATCACAAAAGCCTTTCACTTTTTTTCTCCACTGTGTCCTATAGAGTGTCATGTTTTCATCTAATTCTAATAGAAGGTTATTAGCCATACAGACTTGCGCCTATGGAAAACCTCAAACCCCATATCAAAAAAAAATCCTCACTAAATGAGGGAGAAATATGCAGGTAGTGTCTTATTTACAACCTATTCAACATTACGGAGAAGTGACCCTCAAAACTTTCTCTCAACAAACAGAAGTCGAGAGACAGAAATTTTCGGAGCCCACATTGTGGTCTATGAAACTTGCATTCATGGAAACCATAATATCCTCTTAACATATAAAATTATCAAATACTTACATACTTTGCACCATGAATCATTAACTGTACAAAATCATATCATCATGTATTTTGTATAATATATCCAAAATACATAAGTTTATCATACATAGCCATCAGCATATCTTATAATAATATTGAATAATAATTATTAACATCATACTCATTAAGATCTCTATCCTCCAAACATTTAATTGATTGTTCAGTCGAAGTCTCACTAAATAGAACTAGATCACCTCCAAAAAGAATACATAAGATAACTTGCTTAGATCTTCTCTACAAGCACTTTTATGTTCAACATATAAAACCATGGACTCAATGTTCCTCATTGAAAGTCATTTCACAACTTATAAGAACACCAAATTGTACTCCAATGCATCCTAAATAATGTTAACATACAATATTCTATCTTATAGCATGCAACAACAATTATTATGATGATCATTCTCAAGCTTAATGAAAATTACATGAAGATCTCTTTAATGTTATCTACGCCTCTCCATTTAATGTAACACAAAGAAAACTAGGAGGACCAGTTCAAGTTTACAGGTTGGGTTCGGTTAAGTCCAAAAATAAACTGACACATATAATCAAACCAAAGCAAACCTATTTAATAAACAGGTCAAAATGAACATGGTTATTCCATTTGAGCACAACTCAATCAAAATAGGAAAAAAATTATAATTTTATATGAGTTTTTTTATCAAAAAGAAATCAAATAATTAATTTTTTTTTTTCAGATCGACTCAAACCTGACCTGAAGCCAACCCTTTTTTAGTCATTTAAGCTTGAGCTATATCAGACTAAAATATTATACGAATTGATCCATACCTAAATTTGTCATGTTAAGTCTAATATTCATGCCCAACATGAAACGAACTTGGTACAATGAAACTGATGTAATTTTCCCATGTATATGTTTCATTATTCAAAATTTAAGACTATATAATTGTTTTAAGATAAATGAGCCAAAATACATAATAAATCCTATCTGACTCACAAGTTTGAATCTTCTACAAACTAGTATAATCCTGAATGTCGCATTTATCTTAAATAGTGATACCAAATGCTCCTTCCCCAATCACTTGGCATCATCATAATATTTAAAATTTTATTAAAAAGATTTGATAAGCAAATCACTACAATATCTCCTATACCTCTTCAAATCACAATAAATATCATATCCTGGAGAAAATTTTACGTACATAAGACGTACGTACTGCTGTGCACGTCAGGGAGGTTATTCAGAGGTTATTCCCTGTAACCTCCCTGTAACCTATAAATATATGAAAATATAAGCATGAAACTTACTAGAAGGTACAAGGAGGTTACAGGTAGATTGCAGGGAAGTTACAGAGGGTATAACGCAGATATAACCCCCCAATACCCTCTGAATAACCCCCTCTGACGTATGCAGCGCTGCGTACATCTTACGTACGCAAATTTTTCTCCATATCCTGACCTAAAACCATATATTTATGCATAATTTTACGAGTTAACTCTAGCCAAGCGTTTTGTATCCATCCATAATATAATTCACTAAATTGTTATTATGTTTTTTCCAAAGTATTTTGTCATTAAAGCACTCATTTAGTAATTTCTAAAAATAAAATTTTCATAATTTCATGATGTCTTCATCTATAACAAAGATTCTACTTTCTTACTTTTGATGCTTCAAACTCAAGAAAAAATTCCTAAATCCCTTATTTCATATATTAGATATTGTAAATATCTCATTTTCTCCTTCTTTAATACCAAACTTGGTATATAAATCATAGATAACTATAAATTTTGCTTTACTCACTGCTCACTTTTAAAAATTCTTACTTACTAACATTCTCAATACTCAATAAATTTTAGAAGAGCATTCTTTTCTTCAAAAACCTTTTTAACCGACTCGCTCCACCCCTGAGTCTTCCTTTCAGCACATGATTTACCTCTAAACTCTCTTAAAAGTTAACTGTTCTATAACATCATCTTAATGAAGCCACCCATCTTATCCCATATAGAGCTTAGCTCAGCTAAATAAATCAATTTCTCTTTTAGCAGTCATACTTGAAGATTAAAATGTTCTAACCTTTAAAACTCCATCATTTTATCAAAAACCATAGTTTTTTTTTCCTTCACTAAGTTATAAATCAAAAACTATTGAATGTTGTGGGGTAAACTTTCCTTGGAATCACCTTCAAATATATACAAAAAGATTTTCCTTTCCTTACAAATAAGAGAAAATTCTGTGATTTGATGAATCCACTTTTATGAATAACCAAGTATTTTTCTTTCACAAAGTATATGTTTGGCATTGCAAGATTACAAAAGACTACAAAATCATAGATCCCCTATTGCATCACCACCATTAATCCTCTTATAGCACATCCTACCAATAACTACTATTTCTTCGGAGTTATACACTTCCCACTTTGGTTTTTCAAACTATTTTCAAATCTAATTTGGAGTATAAGCATTAACCACATTCATAATTTCATTATTGAAAATCAATATAATAACAATCATATTATCACTAATCCGATTAAATCAACAAGTTTATTCTTCAGCTCTTTATCCCCTACTAGCTCAACCTCAATTCTATTGTTAACAGTTGCAACAACCAATAACCTATAAACTTCTACAATATCCTTAGTTATCTCTCGGTTCTATTTAATTTCTTACAAATAAGGTATATTTATTCTTCTTATCATGTTCAGAAACCCATTTTTTTCCTCCAATAGAAGCTTCCCACATTTCCATGCGACCAATTTAATCTTGTATTTATACCTAAACAATATTTGCTTATTTTCAACATAATTAATTTAAATTAGGATGGTGATATCCTAACCCACCTAAGCTTGCTTTTTCACCACATGCAGGCAAATTGTTGTCACTTAAAAAGAGATGTCCTAGACAACCACTGCTACATCTCACCGCAATCATGATGGATCATTGCATGACGCTTCCAGCAAACACCCTAGAACTCAAAAAATTTAAATTTTGATTCATTTCATTAGTTTTAACATAATACTTATAATTAATTGTCAGCCCAACATCGAGACCACACTAATTCTTTAAATGATTAAAGAGAGAATGAAAAATTAATAGAGTACATAGTATGTAGATCACAAAATAGAATAAATATTAAATAGATTCAATAGATGTAACTTATCCCCTTCAACTTTTAAATAGAAAACATTTTCTCCTCCCACTAAAAGCACAAAAAATTGAATGAAATAAAATAAATTTGAGAGAACCCCATTTTTAAATAAAGCAATCTCCATATATTAGGCATATTAGACTTTTAGTAGTCATTCCTCCTCTTTGTCAATTAGTATCAAACATAAAGATTAGACACAAAAGCATCCCTCTCTAAATACCATATTGTCACAAAACTATCTTCAATTCCCGGGTTCCAGTAAACGGTTCAAACATCATTTGACAACTGATTAATATTACAGGATTTTCAATATATAAAACAAGCTATATTAATTACTACAGCAAGTATATTACTTCGCCAACTTAAGTTCAAAGGTGAGATTCAATTTCTAAAAGCCTAAAACATGACATAGAACTTAACATGCCACAGTAACTCAATTTAAAGTATATAATTTATATATATGTGTATATATGTGTGTGAGTTGTGTGTGTGTGTGTGTGTCAATTTAAGTTGCTAATAAAAAATGCCGCCGCTTAGAACTTTAATGGTTTAAAGGGTCCAGAATGAAAACCAGACTATGAGTAACTGAATTCTTTATAGGAGATATGATGAGTTAATCATAAATCAATAGTGCCTCAAATAACTTCATGGATCATCACTATGCCAAAGATTTCACCTTTGAAACAAACGATTGTCTAAATCTACTTAAATCAACTGAGGACTTGCACTATATAACATGAAACTACTTCAATATTATGAATTCCTTAATTTCATCCAATATACGACTATGTTTGCCTCAACAGAAACAAAAATGTATGTTACACTCTTAAGAAAAGACTTAGAACCAATTTCAACTATGATCAAGACGAAATCAAGCTCAAGTGACAAAGGTAATTCCAATGCCATTGCAGTAATCTTGCAACAAATTAAAGAAGCGTTAAAATAAAACATCTGAGTATCTTACTTGGTGTTGGATGTTAGAATGGACATAATTCAAGCTGAAGTCTCCTCCGCCAAAAAAAAAAAAAAAAAGGAAACAGCAACAAGAAATTCCTCCAACAAGCCACCATTTTCGCAGCAATTCACTGGTATAATCCCATACAAGCAAGGAATTCCTCCAGCTGAATTCCCTAATCTTTCCAGCATTCTTGTAGTAACTGATTTACCATGCCTCCAAAAGAGCTGAGAGTACAGAAACGGCTTGATGAAGTTATGCTTTATCCTCCAGACAAAGAATTTCCCAGGTTGTCATGCCTGCTTCTTCCCCCTCAGAAAAAACAGTTAAAAAAAATAGCTAGCAAGCAGGAAAAAAAAATTAGGTTTTGACAGGGAAAATGAATGAAAGTTATAACGTAAAAAAGCATATAAAGATATTGGCCCTTGTCTGATGTGTATAATTCTGATTAAGGGAAATACATTGAAACAAAAAAAAATGTTCACAGAAGTATGGGAATTTTAATATAATCAGTACAGATGCAACAGCTAATATAATTCTGCATCAAATATTCAAAGAAACAACCTTTCTCTTGAAAATTCACTCCTTTAATTCAAATAGCACCATGATATAATATAATAGTGCACTCTGAGAAGTTTCACAAGGAACAGGATCAGTCATAGTAGATAAACGCAGAAACCAAAAAGCCAAATAATCATATCACACCTCCACAGTAGTCTCACCCTATAAAAAAACAGTAATGTTCCAACAAGATATGGATTTACAGAAACAAAATATAACAAAGCAGTAGTTTGAAAAGAGCATTAGCAGGCACTGCCCATGCTGAAGCATGAACATTTTTTGTACAGAAGCCGCCCACCATATATGCAATTTTAGCACACAAATTTGACTCAAGAGAAATTTACAAACCCATCACACATCCATACAGACAAACATAAAAAACTAAACAACAAAAAGAAAGTTCATCAAATTTGAATGAGCCGCCATCATAAACGGCAACCTCCTTAATTTTACCGCAAAACCACAGAAACAACATGAGGCACCCTGTTATCGTCAAACGGTAAAGTAACATATTCGGAAGCAAACTCTTCCACTATCTCCCCCAGAAGCTCCCCATGCACCGCCTTGCAGTACAAGTACAGTGCCGCGTGCGTCACAATAATGTACAAAAGCAGTAGAGACGTCAAGGCAGAACCTAACACAGTCTTCCCCACCACCGGCATCACGTCGTACCAACTCCCACCGCTAGGAATCTCCCAGAGCCCAAGCCCCCACAACGTAAATCCAATTCCCGCCCCAAAAACTACCCAAAGGCAGATCGCCGCCAGCCGCATCCCATCGATCAATTCACCACTCCTTTTCAGCGGAGCAAACCCCCAGGTGGACTCCATCACGGAGACCACGCCGGCAAGGCACCATTCTAACTGGAATCGAGCGATTGTGATGGCGGCAATCCCGGCCGCGAAGCTGTATGGGGGGACTGAGCCAGATTCAACATCAAGGATTGAGAGGATAAAAAGAAGGAGGAGACAAAGAGAGACAATAAGCGCGACAATAGCGGAGAAGATAAGAAAGCCGGACAGAACGGTAGCAAGTAGGTGAAGAACGGGGATGTGGAGCGATCTAAGGTTGGGGAGAATCTTAACCGGTCTTCCGTAGAATCCATCAATGACGCTGCGTGTGACGGCGGCTGCGCCGGCAGAGGCGATTGGCAGGAAGAGAGCGGCGGCGGCTGAGGCGAGAATTAGGGTTCTGGTGAAATCGGGGGAGGTTGATGAGAGAGGTGCATCTCGGAGTAGGGATTGAGGAGGGAGGAATTGGTGGTGGTGCATGAGGATGGGGAGGAGGGAGGGGGAAGCGATGATGATGAAAGAGAGTGGGAGGAGGAAAAGGACAGAGAGGGCGAGAAAGTGGCGGGAGTGATCGGAGACGACGCGGGAGGATACGGAGAGGACTCCGGCGAGCATCGCCGGCCATGAGTATGATGATTTGCTCATCGCCCGATGAGAGTGACGACGAGGGTTTCGTCTACGCTCTCCTTTGCAGATCGTGTCCACGGACTCGTGAGACTTTAGGTTTCGAATGAAGGAGAAAAAGGTCAAATTAGGAGTTACATTTTACTTTTAGGGGTGTAAACCAGATTCCGAGCTCAAAAAGTGAGTTTGTGTTCCGCTCGTTTGCTTAACGAGTCGAACGCAAGCTGTTCACGAACAAATAGTCTTTTTAAGACCCCTAATCATGTAGCCATAAGAAAATAAAGATTTGAGCAAAATTTAAAAATTATTATTTATATAAAACACCATTTAAATCTAATTTAATAATTTTTATTCTATTTTCTTAATCAATATTTTAATTGATATTGAGATAGCCCTAGTCCAAATTGGGTTCTCACAGTCGTAACTACAGATAAAGAAAGAAAATGAATTTTGTGTATATATATATATATATATAAAGTTGAGTAGTATTTCGAGTCAAAACGAGCCGAACACGAACGAACACATCTTAGTTCGTGTTTCGCTCGTTAACTTATCAAACAAAATTAACAAGCAGAACACGAGCTGTTCGCGAACAACGAGCCGTTTTGACAGCCCTATTTTACATTTCTTTTTTTTTTCTTTTTAGGAATTACATTTGCTTATATTTAAAATTTCATATAATAATGTTATTTCTACAACAACCAAGTCCTCACATTTGAATATCTTGATAGAGCTAAAAATGATCCATTTTATTATGAATTATTATTTATAAAAGATTTCTAACAAGCTTCCATGACATTATAAGAAAGCAAAATGCTTTTTAGCAATGACAATTTTTCCACTAAAGTAAATCATAATAGGTGAACAAAAAAATATAAAAGATTAGATTATATGTTTATTGGATCCACACATTGTGATATAACATTGGAAATTTAAAAGATTGCATACAAAAGCTTGTGATTTATCCAAAAATTATTAATGAAATTGTGTATCATAGTTTATCACCTTGATCTACTTGTTAATATGCTAATTTATTATGTTCCTAATATTAAAGAGGTTTTATAATATAGCAAGGTTAGCAAATATGTGTTTCTTTAGTCTGAGTCTTTTGTATGAGATATAATTTCCTAATTGTAAAATAAGTCATTCCCAAAATTTTGTAACATCATCACAAAGGAAGTATTCAGGAAACTAGTTTCTAAGCCTTAATTTTTAGTTTGTACAATGAATAAGCCAATTTTCAGTAACGCTTGGCTGACCAGCATTGACGAAAAGATTTTAGTTCATCAACTAGTAGAGAAACTTTTGGATTTCATGTCTATAGAGCCTAATTGAATAGAGCCCTAAAGAATCGATGTACTGTATCAAATAGATTATAGAAATTTGTCAACTATATTCATTATAAGGGCAATAGAAAGAACCGAGAGTAAGAAATAAGTGTTGATTTCAAAGCCCAAAATAAGGCTCAATATTTAAATTACTATATTATATATTATTTTATTTTATTTTATTTTATTTCATTTTAAAATATTTTAGAAATCATATATGATCAACCACCTTAAAGAAGTAACATGGAAATTAATTTTTTAATAAAAAGTTGGAAATTTTCTCCTTTGCTCAAGTAATCAATCCATCCCTCTTTCCCCCTATTTTTTATCTCCAAAATGAAAAAAAATCTTAAGTTTTTTTTTTCACAGAAAGAGAGCTTGATATATAATAAAACCATTAGTGTCGATCGAAATCATTTGATTGAATTTTTTTTTCTTTGCTTATGTCTTGGTGGATATAAGATTCCATTTTCTTTGATAAAAAAAGATAATTACCTTTTTTTTATTATTTATTACCTCCTCTTTTAAAAATAAACTATAAATCATCCTACCATATCCTTTCATTTCAAGTACCTAATAAGTTATGTTGGTTACCATCCCACTGTTTGTTTTCTACATTTTGGTTATTTTTTAGCTGAAGTTATGATAATTTTTCCAACAAGAGTTATAAGTATTAAAATAAGAGTAGTTTGGTCTATTTTTGATAATATTCATTAACTCCACAACTGAAATAATAGTTATCTCTTAATTGCTCATATTCATCAGTTATTAAGATCCTTGTATTGAATTTTTTTATAAGTTGTCTAATTTTCTAAATATTATAGCTACTTTTAAAGTCGAAATAACAAACACATCTTGACCATGTACACGGGCCACTTTTCTAGGGTCAACGCTCTCACATAGTCATTAAAAACGATTAATGATTGTTTCCTCAATTAGTGAATTGGCCTCAATGAATTGTTTCGACACTAAAAACCCCCCGTTGTTATATCCATTATTGACCTCATTGATCCCAGCAGATCATTATATAAAGTTTATATAATCAATCGATTTGGTAAGGCATGGTGTGAACATTTTCTAAGTAAATCATTAAACCTTTTCCAGGTGTCATAGATCAACTCATTGTCCAATTAGGAAAAAAGAAGTGATATTATTTATAAGTTTAATAGTTCTGGGTGGACGAAAAAAATTCAATCAGAATTTATGAGCTAAATCAATCTAAGTGGTTATAGATCCTCATGGTAAAGAGTTTAACCAAAATTTAGCCTTATCTTTCAAAATAAACAAAAATACCTAAGTCTAACAGAATCATCAAAGACATCGTTAAACCTAAAGATTGTATGGGTTTTCAAGAAACTGACAAAGTGTATGTTTGGAACTTTTACAAGTGATCCTCCAAATTGGTTAACATGTATTATTTGAATTATTATTCGATTAAACTCAAAGTTGTTTTCCTATATGATAGGTATATTGATTCTCTGATGGATTTCTTCTGTCATCAAGTTTGTAAAGTTTCTAAGAGGTATAGGATCATCATTTTCTCTAATAATTTATCATTTCTCCTAAGATATTTTTGGCCTTTTTAGTTTTCTAAGCTTGTTTGTTAATTTTTTTTTTTCAATTTCATAGTCAAAAGGTACAACTTCAAACGTTCGCTCCTACGTATACACCGTTTAGTACCAACCAGTGATCCTATTATAACAATCATAAAATCAATTATATTTAAAAATGAAAAAGTAGTTAACAATGAGAAGTGATAAATTTAAAAAAAATAACAATAAAACTACTCAATGCTAGCTAAATTTGGTGGTATGTTGTAATATTGAGTTTAAGGTATACAAACAATGCAGTTATGAAATCAATTAATTAAATTAAAATTAACATATTATGATAAGTGTTTGTTATTAGGACATTTATAAATTATGCAAAAATATGCAAATCATGAAATATTTTAACAAATGAGCTTACCAAAGATTAAAAGAAACAAGATTAACTAATCAACTAAAGTAAGCTAATATTTTAAATCTCAACTAGTTCATGCCAAAGATATAATATGGTTTTATGTTATGATCAATTTTATAGATACATGACCCCTAAAAGTAATTTGTGGAACTCAGCAACTCAATGAAATTTTGTGCTACTTAAAAAATTCCAATGGGTAGGTTATGGTAAATGGTCGGCTCAATATGCCAAGATAATAAACTAATATATATTTAAAAAAAATAACAATATAGAAAAAAATCAATGATATTACTTTTAAATATACTACATCACAAAGAAAATATCATAATAAATGTAATTATTTAAATCTAAAATGAAGAAAAGCTTCCTATTATAAGTGTCTTTCCAAAGTCATTCTCTTTTTTCAACCATATGCTTTGATAATAAACTCACTAGGAGCATAAGTTTAGCTTTATACTGATGGGTTCTTTTGGGTTGTAAGATTTAAGATATTTTTATTTGAGATGTATAAGCAAAGGGATATGTTTATGGGTATATCAAAGAAAAAATCTATGTTATGTGTCAACTATGCAAGATTAAGTTCGAAACTTGAAAACCCTAAATCTGATTTTAAACCTTTTATGTAAATAATACAAGTGACCTCATGGCTTAATAATACATGGAAAAATTATGTTAGAATGCCTAAATATGATTTATAAAATTTTATTTCATATTTTTTGAATATTTTTTTTTCTAATTTTTTTTATTAGACTCGGTTATGTAGGAATCTAGCTTAGTCACTTTCATTAGCATAGATGTTTCACATTGGTGGAGAAATTTAGGCCAAGAAAAATTTTAAAAAAAACTTATAAGTGGCAGGGAATAAAATTTAGATTGGATAAGGAGTTTATCACAAATTTTTAAATCATTTTAGGTGATTAGAACAATAATGGGTCTAGTGCACTCAAGTTTTGGCTAAGAGCTCAAATATAAATTTTAGCTAAAAAATTTTCGGGAGAGTTAGATGGGATAAATAATGGGAAAGTGAAGGGATGATAGAGCAAGTCTTTTATAATAAGTGAGTATTAAAAACTATGATGGTAAATAAAATCTAACACTTAATAAATAATATGATGTGAAATATAACCAAATTATTACTTTTCCTTACCTCCCACAAAGCCTCCAACTCCTAAAAAAGAAACTTCATAAGTTTTTTTCATTCATGTGAGAAATCATAAAAATGAAAGAAGAAGTCATAAAGGGTTGGCCCTAATGTATTAGAAACACTGGAAAAGGGAGAAAATTAGTTAATTTTTTATTAAATAATATATCACATCTCATGATTTAATATAATTTTCTCATATGATTTTTAAAATAAAATTTAAAAATTTTAATTCTAATTATCACATTAGATCAAAAAAATAAAATATCAACATAGTCTCATAAAAATCTAAAAAAAATAAAAAGTAATAATTCTTAAATAAATTATATATATTTTTATTCTCCTTAGACTAGTCTTTTTTTCTGCCCTTTTTTATAATAAATATAACTCATTTATGTGTTTTATCATAGATATGATAGATTTATAAAAGTCTTTCTCATTAGCTCTATATATTTATACATGATAATAATCACATATAAAAATATATATATAATGTAAATATAATATAAAGTTAATTGTTAACACTAATTAGCTTGCATTGATATTCAAAATAGACTAATGTGATAACTTATTTCCTTATTTATTAGAAATAGTAAATAATTTCTTAATTATGAATACTTTATTGTTCTTCTAGCTCATCATTTTAGGGCTCTATCTCTAATGAATTTAGCATATGCATTTTCTAATTTTAACATTATATTATAAGTCTGACACTGTAATGACACAACATATCTATGAATAATATACTTTACTTAGGCTTTTTTAATTACATTTTCAAACTTCTCTTCTATATTCTTCTCATTTTTTATCAAATAATTATTTAACTCCTCCACAATTTTCTCTCATGATAGCCTTCTTCATTAATACATGAACAAATGTTCTTCTTCTTTAATTATTGCCAGCATCTTTTTGAACACAAGACTTTTTTTTTTTGGTTGAGTGGCAACCAATACTGATAAAGTAAGTCATAAATTTCATATATCTTCCCTCAAAATGTACTCTATGAATGCATTCTCAAGCTATACTTTTTTGAAAAATATATTACTTTAAAGATTATTGTCAATAAGTCTTCTCGTTATAGTTGTGATCATCTCCTCAAATTTTTCCTCAAATAAAAAATCATTGAATTTAGACCTGATAATAATAAAAAAAATCAATACTTTTAAATTAAATATTCTTATATGTCTTCAATGGTAATTACAATGTGACTATCATTTTTCATGTTATCTAACTTTCTTAAGACCCCAAAAAACTAAATATCTGGAGCATTAAGGTGTTCTGAAGGGGGAAATTCTTGGCTCTCTCAAAAAGATCATAATTCTCAAACTACTTAATTAATACATCTATCATCCCAACTTTATGCACAACTCTAGTAATGTAATGTAATTACATAAGATTAATCAGGCTAGGCATCTATATTAAGAAACAAATCAAATCAAACCAACCAACTTTATAAAAGTTAATGAGAAAAAAATATAATTCAATCACCATGCTTGAACCTCATGCAAACTTAATCTTGAACTTTTTTTTTTCTAAAGCAAACATTCAAATATTGCTTTCAAATCTCGTTTGAACCTCATATTACAATTTTTAACTTAGATTAAGAAATTAAACCAAATTTGAACAGATATTATGAGGCTTGACAATTGTTTGAATATAACAATTTAAGCTCAAAAAAGATTTCTAATCTCATTAAATTTCTTTATCGATATTATATTAGGAACATTAAGTTTGTCAAAATGAATAAAATTAATGTATTGTCCATACATATAAAAAATGGTGATTTTTTTAGGCAAGTTTTTAAAAATGTCGAACATTTTAGCCTATTTTTAAAATTATTGTTCTCGTATTACATTATTGCTATATGAACTAATTATTAGTCAAAAGCTATGCTAAAAGAATAAAACAAGGCTCCACCTATAGTAAGTCCAACTTCTTGCATAAATTATCATGAATGCCATTTCATATCTCTGCATGACTTTTTTTTATTCAATGGGAATGTCAAATTTAGCATAATTTTATAGTTTTATAGGTAATTTCATGTATAAGAAAGTAACATGTTATTAATATTAAAATTTATTACAATTTATGACATAATAATGTTATTGTTATAAAGGATATGCCATACCTAAAAAATAATGATTTATTTATCATAACATTCATCACAAATTATTATATTTTACACCTCCAAGGCGGCCTGCTAAGTTGATTTATTAAGTTGATTTTCTGAGTTGATCCACCGAGTTAACCAAGTGTTGAGCTCCCTAACCACAACAAAATTTTCCTTAATGAGTTCAACATCATACTGCCTCATCAACTTGCTCCATCATGCAATTATCAAATGCATATATAAGTTATTGGAGACATTACAATTTCCAATCTGTCAAAATAGGCCTCAATGCCAAATGTTATCATGTATCTTCATTATAATATTATTTCCATTTATATAATCATTATACTAAATAATATTTAAATTTGGGCTATACAACGTAAAAGGATAATTGAGCAATATTTTGAGCTTATCTTTATTCTCTGACCTTCTAGAGTTCACTCTTTCTTTCCCCACCTCAATCTTATTAGTATTGTGTCCGCTGAACAAATTGAATCCAACGAATAAAATATGTAAAATATGTGAATTTAAATGTACAAACCGTCATTTTATTAAAAGAAAAATTAGTTTGAAGGGGGTTTCTAATCAAAATTTTTTATCATCATGTAAAATTTATTAAATTTTCTTTAATACTATTAAATTATAATTTATGATTGAGTATTTATATTATAATTATCTTAAATTGAATTTATAATCATCAAATTTTAATCTCATATTTCAATATAAAGTATTTCTTTAAAAAACATATAATAAATATATTTATATTATAAGTATGGGAAGTATGCAAAAGCATCAAAAAAAATTTCCTTTATTTCACAAATCTAAAGAAGAAAATTTTAACATAATATTAGAATGAAGTTAAATTTATTTTAAAATTTATATATTATAAACTTCTTATATATAATATTAACTTTAAAATACAATTAATAATATATCAAGCTCTCCTTGATTAAAATAATTTGGTATATTTTTTTGATAACTAATTGTTATTTATAAAATTAACACCAATATGATTTAAAAAAAAAAAACAAATCTTTGCATTTGTTAAAATTTTATCAATTAATTAAGAATTTGATAAAAAAAAATGAAAACCATGGGTTAAAATTTACAATAAATTTTGATATTTAGGCGAGAATAAAATAAAATAAAATAAAATAAAAGTTGGTGCTATATTCATAAACAACAATGTGTTAGAAAGCTAGCAGGGGTGTGGAAGGCATTTACATAAACACCATACTATTCTTATGTATTTACATTATTGCACCTACACATGCACATTACTCAAATTTTAAAATCACATAAAAAAATCACTATCTTTATTATTTTAAAAGAATAATATATATTTCATGTATAAATTAATGACAAAATACATTATAATAGGTCTGTTTAGGGCAGCTTCTGCGTTTCAAGATAAGTAGTTTATCCTGAAACGTGGTTTGTGGGTCGACCGTGGATATGAGTTTAGTGTAAAAAACTCAAACGCGACAGACAGCTTTTTAAAAAATGAGCAAATCAAACGGTTAAGCGGAACACCGCCGCACTTATAAGTTGTCCAAAAGAAGCTCTAGTGTAAAGATTAAATTTTAGGTTTTAATTATATATATATATATATATGCAATTTTTTATTTGTTTTATTAATTCTAATAAAAAATTTAAATGCAGTATTTATATCGCGGATTCGTCGTTCCATGGAGCAGTCGATTCCACTGGCTTTCATGCATCGGAATGCTGAGGAGAGCGGCAGGAAGCTTCAGTTTTAGGGTTTTTCTCCATACTCAAGAGCTCCTCAATTCCTCAAATCTCTGTATGTGCTCAGCTTCACCTTCATTTATCTGTAACCAAAATTCTTTATTTTCATCGTCTTCTACCAGTGGGAACGTTAGTTTAGACCTTATCCCCGAGCAAAACCCTTACTTCGGTGCCCTGTTCCGCAAAATAACCGATCATGGATGCCAAAATAACCATTCATCTCGGAATGGAGAACCAAACCCTAGAACTGATAGTTCTATTGATTCCCAGGAATCCGTTAAAGCGTTTGAAGATCCTTTTCATAGCCCTGGAGGAAGTTCAGCGTCTGAATTTTCTGAAATGTATGGTTTAGATGGTCTCAGTGAAACTGACGAAGAATCTGATGGCGTGGAAGATAACGACGATGGTGAGTTCGAGGTGTTGAATTTATTCAAAAGAAATGCTGAACAAAGGGAATCTAATGTGAGGTTCCTGGAGGAAAAAGATGAGTCCAGGCATCCTTTGGTTAGAGAAACCTGCAGGCTGATTGGTCTCCGGCATGCATGGAATCCAAAACTGGAGGGAGAGCTGCGGAGTTTGCTCAGGAGCCTGAAGCCCCCTCAGGTCAGTGCTGTCCTCCGCTCCCAACTGGATGCGCGATTGGCTGTGAGCTACTTCCATTGGGCTGATCGTCAATGGAGGTACAAGCATTCTCCGGAGGTTTTTTGCACCATGCTTGAGATTCTCAGCAAGACGAAGCTCAGCCAAGCGGCAAGAAGAGTTCTCAGATTGATGATCCGAAGAGGAATCACTCGTAAGCCTGAAGATTTTGCGAATCTTATGGTATCCTATAGTCGAGCAGGAAAGCTAAGGAGTGCAATGAGGGTACTAAATTTGATGCAGAAAGACGGATGCTCCCCCGATCTGGTCATCTGCAACACAGCAATACATGTCCTTGTGATGTCGAATCGGTTGGAAAAGGCTCTGAGGTTCTTCCATCGAATGCAAAGGGTTGGGATTAATCCTGATGTTGTCACTTTTAATTGCTTGATTAAGGGATTCTGTGATGTTCACCGTGTTGAGGATGCATTAGAAATGATCAGGGAGATGCCTTTTAATGGCTGCCCTCCAGACAAAATTAGTTATTACACAGTGATCACCTTCTTATGCAAAGAAAACAGGGTTGAAGAGGTCAGAGAGTTGCTACAGAAGATGAAGACTGATTCCAATTTGATTCCTGATCAAGTCACTCACAATCTCCTGATTCATGTCCTCTCGAAGCACGGACACAGTGATGAAGCTTTAGGGTTTCTCCATGAATCAGAGGAGAAAGGTTTTCGTGTTGATAAGGTTGGCTATAGCGCAATCATCCATTCCTTCTGTAGAGATGGAAGAATGGAAGAGGCAAAAGAGATTGTCAAACAAATGATCTCAAAGGGGTGTCTTCCTGATGTTGTAACCTACACCGCCATCGTCAACGGATTCTGTCGCATAGGAAAAGTAGATCAAGCGAGAAAGTTGATGGATTATATGTATAAGAAAGGATGCAAACCTAATGCATTCACCTACACCGCATTGCTGAATGGACTATGTCGAATTGGTAGTTCTGTTGAGGCAAAAGACATGTTGAACATGAGCGAAGAAGAGTGGTGGACGCCAACTGCCATCACCTATAGTGTTGTGGTGCATGGACTGAGGAGAGAGGGAAAATTCGCGGAGGCTTGTAATCTAATCATGCAAATGATCAAAAATGGCTTTTTTCCTACACCTATTGAAATTAATCAACTGATTCATGCACTTTGCAAGGATGGGAAGCCAATTGAGGCCAAGAAGTTTATGGAGGATTGCCAAAGTAAAGGTTGTACGATCACCACGGTAACCTTTACCACATTGATTCATGGATTTTGCCAGGCCGGTGATTTGGCATCTGCTTTATCTTTGCTCGACGACATGTTCCTCAGCAACAGACATCCTGATGTTGTGACTTACACGGTCATAATTGATGCACTGGGAAAGAATGGGAAATTTGACAAAGTATCGGAACTCATGAAAACTATGCTAAATCGAGGTTTAGTTCCCACACCTATCACTTACAGGGCAGTAATCCATAGGTACTGTGCGAGAGGAAGTGTAGAGGAACTACTGAAGTTGCTTGATAAAATGCTAGCGAGGAAGGGGTTTAGGACTGCATATAATCAGGTCGTTGAGAAGCTTTGTGGTTTTGGTAGACTCGATGAGGCTTATAAAGTTATAGGAAAGGTTTTAAGGACTACCTCAAAGATAGATGCTGACACTTGCCACATCTTGATGGACTGTTTTTTGAGGAGAGGCGTTCCCTTACTTTCTTATAGATTGGCGTGCAGGATGTTTAGGAGAAATTTGATTCCAAATGTTAAATTGTGTCAGAAGGTGAGTGATAAGCTTCTCTTGGACGGAAAGCCCGATGAGGCAGGAAGGCTTATGGTAAAGTTTGTTGAGAGGGGTCAATCTCTGGCATAGCACCCCTACTATTATCTTATTGTCAAAATAGACCCTTGAACTTTGGTTTGCTGGTCTGCAAAGACAACTTAGTAGTGAAACTAAGATTTGAAGTGAGAGGGGTTAGAATGTAAAGGTAAAATTTCAAATTATAAATAGATTCATAGGATTTTCTCATATGTAGGAGTAGTGAGAGCCACCCACTGTTTTCAACACTGCATACACTTATGTCATTATTTACATCATGCTATTTTTCCATCTACTGAATGCATTGGTGCAGTAAATATTTCTAATTATTTGATTTTGAAAAATTTTTATTCCACTGATGCAAGGTCAAAGGATTAAAACACCTTAATTATGATGAATTACATCAACACAATCACATGCATCTATGCCAAAAAAAGAGAGAGAAAATACTTTTTGGATATCTTTTGTTTTACAACAATCAATTTTTTCGGCCTTAATTTAATGAACAAGCAAGTGGAACAAATTTTACTTTGTATTGATTGTCCTTTAGTTTTAAGTAGAATTGTAATGGGTTGATCTGAAAAATGTGGATTGAACTTTTGATGATATTTGTGTAGACTATATAGTAGCATTTGCTTTACATTTTTAAGGAATCAATTTCTGTTGTGCTTTTTTTTTGGTAATATGCTTTGTGAAACACTAGTAGTTTCACTCTTAAAGTTTATCTTATTTCCACCATATTTGATTTTTTATCATAGTTCCATTCTTTTTTTTGATTTGCCCAATCAAAAAGACTGGGATAGTATTTAATTTCTTTTACTTTTTCACAGTTCTGAGTATGGCGCCTTGTCTGTGAAGAAAGTAAGAAGAGATTTTGCAAGTTACATCTTCAGTGAAATTCATATAAAAGAGATGCCTCGATAGACTGTAATCCAGGTGGCCACAGGTGCTTATCTTTCAAAATCAGGTTACTTATTTACCTTTGTTTTCTTTACAAACTTTGTTTTTCTAAACAATAAATGAATTTGCCCATGTCTAGAACATATCGCACATTTTGATTTCTATCACCCATAGCAAATGTTAAGTAAAACCTAACCAGGCTATTGACTGGGTAAAGAGAGTGGAAGAGGGAAGGGTGGCTGAATTGGAACGTGATTTGTGAATGAATTTGCTAGGATTCGGATTCATGGGAATACACAATTTGTTTTCTTGTTTTGTTATGTTAGATTTTTTTTGTTTTGTTTTGTTTTGAGATTTAGAGCTTGTTTTCTTACTTAAATTCATGTAAGTTGGCTTAAAATTCTACTGGAATTAAGTAATGGAGTTTCTCCTTTCAATCCAGGCCTAAGCTATCCAACCTTCATTATCTTCTTTCCATGTTCTTTCAACTACCAGCCTCTCTTCGGCAATTGTTATGCACTTGCATTGTTACTTTCTCTCTCTAGTAGCAAGCAAACTGCTTTGTAAAATTAGACCTTTAAAACTTGTTAATTGTAAATAAAATTCTCAAACTAAACATTTCGTCTTATTAGAATGATGAATTTCTCTGTGTGGGAGTCTTTCTAATGAGGACTTTGGAGGCCCCGCTACTGCCAAGTAGCCAATGTAGTCACAAATTGAGTACTTAAGTCAAACTAATTGTCCTACCCGAAAGAATAACTAAGAAGAGTAAAGTGTGTAGTTGGTTTGATGGAAAGTTATTTAGAAAACACAGTAATAACAATGATTTTGACAACCTTAACTCATCACCTACCTAATTCTTTTAACTAAAAGGATAGCAATATATTTTTATAACATCATGGATGCTACTTTCTTCTAACAATAATCATATTAATCCAAAACTGAGATTTAGTGGAAGAACTTCTCTCCTGAATATTAGTTTTGGAATCTCCATGTTTACCAGGCCCAATCCTGTGGCTTTTAACTTAGAACTGAACCTTAAGTTTTATTAAGTCCAGACAAACACTATTTCTCTCAAATCCATCTATACGTATTAATAAAAACTGTGAGATGCTTGTTTATTTTGAAAATAAAAGAAAACATGAAGTGGAGCGCCTAAAAATGTCTGGAGACTGATTAGCTTTTCAATATGAGCCCAAACACCATTGAAAACTCTCATGGTAATTCATCCTTCGAACAAGTGATTAATGATGGTCTTAGTAGACCAATTGAGAGAGCATAAGATCTTGTATGAACTGCCTATCTATTATTTTTGTCATATGAGGCCTTTCTCTTAGTTTTCATATATTTGTCAGCATTATCAACGTAGAATAGTTTCTAAAGTCAATGCTTAACTTAATCAAAATTTTGTAATTAAAAGATGCTACACTAAAAATATTCTAGCAATTGAAAAGAACAAAATATTGGAGATTACTACACTACCTTGGTGAAGTGACTCGTGGGTGCAAATGGTTTTTTACTATATAACACGTCTGATGGAAGCATAAAGAGGTTGAAGGCACAACCCGCGGCTATGGTATTTACAATGTCTTATGAGATTGACCACAAGAGGTTTATGCTTTCGTAGTAGAACTAAACATTGTATGTGTACTCTTCATCTCTCGCAACTAACTTGGATAGACTATTTTTGTAGCGCTATTGCAAGAATGCCTTCTTTAATGATCTTGAAGAAGTCCAAATAAAAAATTCTCCTTGTTAGACATCTAGCTTCGCAAGAAAGCTTGCAAACTTAAAAAGGCCTTTATATCTCTTGAAACAATCCCCATAATTTTTGTTCGACTGATCACCAAAGTGGTGAAACTATATATATATTTATGATCATACTCTCTTTGTCAAAGATCATCTAAAAATAATTATGCTATCATGATTGTGTCTGTTGATGACTTTATTCTCTCAGGTGACTTCGCAAAATAAATGAGCAGATTTAAACAAAAGACTTATTGCCAAAGAATTCTAATTAATGATGCATAAGTTTCACTATGTTTCCTGGCAATGGAAGTGACACAATCTTTTAAGGTTATGTTAGTCTAATAGCAAAAATATTTGTACACTTTTAAAAAAATCCATGAGGTACATGTATTCTAATACTTAACTTGAAACCGAGGATAATGGTGTTCTAATTAATAAAGATCGATATGAAAAAATTGTTCGCGGCCATTTATTGCTCTTATAACAGACTTTTGCCTGTTAAAATAAATTAAAAAAATACAAAAAAATAAATTTAAAACCTATAACTGCGTTTCCCGTATAACTAGTCCTGCTATATTTCATGGCAGTTGATATCGATCGATTGACCCCTATCCATTCCTATGAAAGCCGAGTCATCGTCTTCTTTTGTCTGGCACAAATTGCCTTTTTGAACCCTCCCCACTTTTTCTCTCTCATTCACACAAGCGGTCATAACCCTCTACCTCTCGTTTTCTCTAGTTCCGCTGGTCTCACTACAATAATCGCACATGAAAACCATGTGAAGCCTCCCTGTATCGCTTGAAGAGGTCGAAGCCTCACTCTTCCTCTCGGTCGCAACATTCCCGCAATTTCTCTCTATGCTCGTGTGACTTACGAGATGGCTGAAGTATAGAGACCCAAAACTCGTCTCTCTTCTTCTTTCACACTACTCCTACTCTAAGCAATTGAAAAAGGCAAAACAGAGGAGTTGCGGAATTTAAACTTCATGTAAAAGCCAAGATAAAGACCTGAGCAACCACTTCCTCACAATCCCTAGACTCCCTCTCTGTTGCGCTTCCTAAGCTTCTCGATTTGCTTATTCCCTAGCTGCACCGCTCGATCTCTGTCACGACTCCTTGATGCAATCGATGACAACTCTGCCTCCTTGCTCCTCCTTTTGATTTGCGCTGAAAGCCCTCACCCTGTTCGATCCTTCCTCAACTAAATTGAGTCGTCACTTGCATTTCTATTTCTATTGGAGCCCGAGCACCAAACCAGGCCATTTTTTTATGTTCATTTTTTTTATTAACTGTTGTGTATTGTGTAAAAAAAAGAAGAAGAGTCTGTGTTGTATTTTCATATCAACGACGTGGAGGCTCGAAAAGTTATAAAGTGGGGGGCAATTGGGAAATTATTGAAAACCTCCATTCGAGGAGAGCACAACACCTGTTAGGCGAGTAAATTGCGAACTCGTTTGAAGAATTATTTTTAAAACGGGACATGTTTATTTGCAATCTAATTTTTTCTACAAATGTATTGAAGCCCGTTGACCGTGGGTTAAAAATTCTAATTTTACTCCATGGCCGCAGTATCTCACGTCATTGACCAGTGAGCCTTTTGAGACAACTGAGAAGTTTGGCATGCTTTCGTGTCCCCTAACGGGGGTTGATGCAAGGAGTTTGCCGAAATTTTAGGTGAATTTGGACTTGTAAATAATATAAAAAGATGAATTGATTGGACTTTCAAAATGACAAAATTAAAAGAATATGCCTCTATTTAAAGTCATTTCAAGAGGATAAATTAAATGCATTTGAAACTTGCATAGGAGTCATGAAAATTTGAATGACTCGTCAATTAATATAGTTGGACTTCTCTTTTGCTTCAAATTTGATCATATTTGAAGATAATTAAGTAAAATATATATCCTGGTGTAAATGAATCTTTTTGAAAAAATAAATTGTGACTAAGCTTGGTTGACAAATTGCATTAAATGTTAAATATCATAAATTGGGGGTAAATTTAAAACACAAATGTTATTTTTAAATGCTGAAATGAAGAATTAATATGTCAATACCGCCATTGAATTCACAATACTCTTGTTAGCGAACAGATGATGGTCCTTTTTTAAAGACTAAAATCATAATTATTTTTGCAAATACCTAAAGCTCCAAAAGGATTCAAAATTTATAAGCTTCATGTTACTCTCAAGTTAAATGTGATGTCTTGAAATGCGACCCCACACTTTTAAGACTTAGAAGGGTTTCACTTGAGATCTTTTGTAAAGTCCATATAAAGTTCATGACTTAAAAACTATGCAAGTCTTTAAAGCTTATAAAAAGATATTCAAATATGTGTGAAATTCTATGCCCGCATGTGCTCCAATCAATGTATTAAATGCTCAAATACTAGGTTCGAGAATGCTACGTGGGCTAATCGGGCTGCCTTGTCTTTAGGGCATGGTTTTAAGTCTCACCCAACTACTCCAACCCTCATCGTCATAAGGAATTGAGTTAACGAGTCTAGTAATCTCGAAATAAATGTCTAAATCATAAAATAGGAATTTACAAGTCTAACTCACATAGTCCGTTCCTTTTACATAGAATGATAGGAGTCGACAGGACTTGTACTTTGGAAACTTTAAACTAACAAAACTAAATGTCCCCCCTTCAAATATAAATATTTTAAATACTCAAAACTCCGATGATGACCATCTTGATTGATGGTTTCAACCGGAAGGGTTAATCTTTAAAACCAAGATTTTCAAAATAACCAACTAATATATAAAGTAAAATTCATTCACTTAAGAGGTAAAAGCAAAATTCATCCACCCTCCACAACAATTTGTCGAGGGTGACAAACTTCTGATTGACTTCAGCTCATAAAGAGTAAATATCACATCAATTGTATCAAAATATTCACAATCAAAGTAATTGCATGCCAGTAAGAACATGACCTGAGTCCTCTGTTCGCGTGGTTTTTCCTAATGGCTCTACAAAGTAGTGATTATGACCAGAGCCTTTGATCGAGTGGTTTTTACCAAATGCACCATTATATTACATTCACAACCGCAACTCTTTTGTTCCTCAATGACCTTCTATCATTTGAGTTGTGAATCGTAAGGGTACAATTGATTAACATAAAATCTTCTTTTAGCTAATGTCGACTTAAATTTATCCCCTTAGAATCTTCTGGACTACACAATCCATGACTACTGACAAAAATTCTTCTGTTAGGTTGGGTCTACTATCTCCTCTTACTAAGTAGATCTGAGACCACGACGACCGGGATGACGCAACTATGAGTTCTTTATCGTGTTTTATCTTCATTTCCCCACCATCCACTTTTAACTTCAAGTGATAAATTTTGCTATTTAAAATCCTAAGTCTAATGCTATTGTATGTTAAATATTCAATTCTTAATGAATAGTCTTAATCGAAAGTGCTCTCCTGTTATCGGGAGGGGTAATTAACCATAAGGGCTAGTGTTTATGGGAAACTTCGAACCCCAGATCAAAGAATGCCTCGCAAAATGAGGGTTAAATCTCTAGGCAGTCTCTTATCTATAATCTAATATGCCTTCTAAAAATTTGGCCCTCGTAAGCCTTCTCTCAAAACAAAATAATACTAAATGTAGAGTCTTCGGTCTTGAATTTTCGGAGCCCACATAAACTTGATGTATTTTTAATGTGAGTAGTTTTATAGTTCATGAATAGTCCTATTGAAATAATAATAAAGCTGTTTTTTCATAATCTTAAGATATTTGAAAGTAACTCTTGGAAGAAGGATTGCTTTTCGGAAGGAGCTTACATTGGGAGTTTGAGTTTTTTACTGCTTATTAGGCAAGGCTCATCTATGTATCACAGGTCTACGTGAGGATACTGTACATTTGAAAGAGGAATTTTAGTTACTTGGCACAATAAAAGTAATTATATTTGCACGAAGTAAAGTCGAAGCTGAGCTTAAGGTAAAGAATCACGAAGTATCTGAAAAAAATATGATTAATATGGCTTCTTTATGAATCATTCATATCCCTAGTGGAGGAGCGCATTGTCTGTCCAGACACCTGATGTAGCTCTAAGTGCCCCTTAGGTTATTCTTGAGTTATTTTCAGGTTATTTTCAATAATCCTGAAATAACCCAGAAATAACCTGCAGTCTTTATTTTTTGGGTTATTTCTGGGTTATTTTGATATTATTGAAAATAACTCAGAAATAACATGAAAATAACTCAGGAATAACCTCCGTGGCATGTAGAACTACGTCAGGAGTCCGCACATAAAAATTAGGCCTAGAGGAGCCAATAAAGCTACCATGTGATGATTAAGCTACATAACTAATGTCCTGCACATCATGACTAAACCAAATGTGTTGAGATCGATTGACAGTTCACCAAGAAAATTGATGGTGAAATCAAGTCTCTTTAGCATACTCCAACTCACCATCAATTTGCCAACATGTTCACCATGAGCCTTTCATTGGGTAAATTTTGAAAAATTGAATTCTATGATCGAAACAATAAGCAACTGACTGCCTTGCGCCTTGAGAGAGAGTTGGTCGAAATAGATTTCTATAATTTATATTAAGTATTAACTATCTTCTAATTCATAGAAAACAATTGTGGTTGGGGCGTAAGATGGGTTGGCGGGTTCTAGGGGTAGAGGAGGATGACTGAAGCCCTAGTATGGGTTGTAGTATTGCTATGTTGGTTGGTTAAGAGGGAACTCAAACATGCATTTATTTTAATATTCTTATTTTTGTGGTACTTAAATTATTCAACAATGACTTTGTAATTGCTCATCATTTGGATCAATAAGACGTAGTTGCTCTAATTGTAATTTTATAAAATTTATTTTATTGTTTTCCTCTATTTATAAGGGGAAAGATAAAAAATTCTTTTCATCCGTTTAGTCGTACTGCGAGTCAAATATTTCAAAATTAACTTCTACTATGGCTGCATATCATAGCCACTGCTTGCTCCTACTATATCATAAGCCTGATTTTTAATTATTGGCGCATTTACAATCTTAGCACCAATTCCTATGTATTTATATATCTAACGCCTAAAATTTACTTCCTGCATTTATTCCAAAATCTTTCATTTCACATAAAAAATATCACTACTTTTACTTTTAAAATGGGAGATATACTTTTTCATGCATGGATAAGGTGGCATATATGTAAAAATTGGAGTTTAGGTTTCATTACTATATAACAATCGGAGTTTAGGCTTCATACCTTTAAAATATAAAACTTGAGTGATATGTATGTAAATCTTCCTTTATTTTTTTTTTTAATTTTTGCAAGCTACTTGCATTAAAACGACCTGCCCTTCTCATTGGTAGGGTTCTTAGAAGGTGTGATAGAAAGCTATTAGGGAAGTTGTAGGATGGGTAATGGAAGTAAGAGGATGGATGACGACTGAAATGCGGTGTGAACGGCGACAAGAAAGCGAACTGGAAGTGTGAAAACTACGGTTTTCTGCTGTGATCAGCAGCTGGAAGTGCGTCTGATGGCTGTTGCGCTGGAAACAGCGGGTAGAACTGTGAACGGAGAGATACTAGGGCAAGCTACAAGCACACTACTTGCTAAAGGAATATGCTAGCACTCCAGAGGGTAGAAATCAGAGAGAAATTCTCCAAAACACGTAAACTCAGAAAACTTAAAATCCAAACATTCGGATACATCATATATCAAAGCTCCCTCCCTAATAGAAAATATCTCATTAGAAAATAGAGAATTAGATAAGAACCAAAAAGGAAGAGAGCAGATGAAGGAAAATTGCTAGAAAAAATCTCGATAATGCCTGGACTCACGCGATACTGCAGATGTGGTAATGACACACTTGTGTCAGTCACTCTTTGACGTCATTATTGATGTTTAATATTTATTTGGCACATGTTGTAATTTATCCTGATATATTCTAAAGATGTACAAAAGTTATCATGAGAAAATTTGAAAATTTTTGGATCGGAATTAAGCATGGCTCAAAATAGTTGTTACTTTTAGTTTGATGTACATCTTGCCTTCATTTATGTTTAGGCTAAACATGTATTTTTTTTCTTTTTGGCGGTTGGTGGGGTTTTGGTGGGGGGGGCACTAAGGATTTGTATTTTCATATCTAACAGCTAAAGTTTGATATTTACATAACACTTTGGTGTTCTGAACAGTTGCATAAAAAGGTGCACTTCAGCTTTAAACAGTTAATTGTATTGGCTTTTTTATGTGATATAAAGAATTTAAGTGCTAAACATGTAAATACATAAGAATTATGCAGTATGTATGTAAATGTCCCATTTTTTTCTTATTTATCAGATTGCTTAGCCTAGTGTTAATGTAGATGTTGATGTGTATCGAAGATGAAATGATTGTCCTATGCAGAGTCATGATTTCACTAACTCCATTTTGAACAGCATATGTAGTCTTCCTAAATGCAACTATAAATTATTTGAAAATTTAGACATTTTAGTATTTTTATTGTGGAAATTCATTTAATTGTAATATATTGCATGCTGTCCTATTGTTTCTCCATTTGTTAGCTGCCTTTTATGTTAAAAATTTTAGTAATTGATATCATACCTTTGTTGTTGATTTTGAACTGTGATTTTTTATGCTGTAATATTTTTAGGTATTGTTTGTTTGGATGTTTCGGGTTGAGTTCCGAACCAAACTGAACCGCATATTATGCACGTTTGAATCGAGCGTTCTTCTGAACGTGTCCCCGACCGTGGTGCCTCTTTCGTTTAATCCCGACTGGAGGCCCCTAGCTGCGTCTCACTTTCAAGAAATTTTTTTTCTTGATTATCCCAAGCACAGCCGTGCCCTAGCTTTTCTCACCCAGCTCCTCTTCGCAATAACATCACATCCTCGCAATGGTAGCTTCATGTTTCTCTGCCGCCGAGAGATCACAGGTTTTCCTCTTCTATCTCGCTCTCTTCAGCGTTCTTTTTTATTTTTCTCTTCTATATTCTCTGCAGCGACCGTTCCTTCTCATCACTAGATTCCAGGCCTGTCAATTAGTTTTCTTGTTTTGTGGTGAAATTCTAGTTTGCAAGTTTTATTGGATTTTATATGCAAAATCTCAATGTATTTGTATTTTCATATCTAACACCTAAATTTTGATATTTACATTTATAACACTTTGGTGTAATGAACAGTTGCATAAAAAGGTATACTTTAGATTTAAATAGTTAATTGTATTCGTATTTTTGCTGTGATATTAAGGATTAGTGTGTTACGTATGCAAGTATGAATGTTTAAGTGTTAAATATGTAAATACATAAGAATTATGCATATGTATGTAAATGTCTCATTTTTTTCTTATTTAGCAGATTGCTTAGCCTAGTGTTAATGCATCATTGTTGATGCGAATCGAATATGAAATGATTGTCCTATGCAGAGTCATGATTTCAATAATTCCATTTTGAAGAGCATATAGCCTTTCTAAATGCAACTAGAAATTATTTGGAATTTTGACATTTTAGTATTTTTTATTATGGAAATTCATTTAATTGTAATATATTGCATGCTGTCTTGTTGTTTCTCCATTTGTTAACTGCTTTTTATGTTATGAATTTTTGTAATTGATATCATACCTTTGTTGATTTTGAACTGTGATTTTTTTTCCATTATGCTGTAATATTTTTAGGTATTGTTTGTTTGGGTATTTCGGGCTGAGTTCCGAACCGCATATTATGCACGTTTGAATCGAGCGTTCCTCTGAACGTGTCCCCGACCGTGGTGCCTCTTTCGTTTAATCCGGACTGCAGGCCCCTAGCTGCGTCCCACGTTCAAGATTTTTTTTTTCTTGATTATCCTGAACGCAGCTGTGCCCTAGCTTTTCTCACCCGGCTTCCTCTTCATAATAACATCGCATCCTCACAACGGTAGCTTCATGATTCTCTGCCGCCGAGAGATTACAGGTTTTCCTTTCTTCTATTTCATTCTCTTCTGTGTTCATTTTTATTTTTCTCTTCTATATTCTCTTGCAAGTGACCGTTCCTTCTCGTCACTAGATTCCATGCATGTCAATTCATTTTCTTGTTTTGTGATGAAATTCTAGTTTGCAAGTTTTATTGGATTTTATATGCAAATCACATTGTATTTTTAAGTGTTTCCTAGTTACCTCTCTAATGATTGTGGTATTGTTGGAGGCTTATGGCTTAAACTTTTTGAGCTTTTAGATGTTTTTTTTGGCAAAAAACAAGTTTATCTTATGCGTTGTTTGGTTCCGAGATTGTGGTTTTTGATAATAACTAGTTGGGATAAATTCTGTTTTATTTCTAATTTATTTCAGAAAGAAAGTATGCTCATAATCAAGGTTCCTATCATATGAAGATGCATTCAATGTAATTTTGATTACTTAATTGAGATCAGATCATTTTTATAAGGTTTGAACTCAACCCAATGAATTCTCTAATTCAATTATTTCCTCTTCCCTATTTCACTAATATCAAATTCATTCATTGTTATGACGTTGATTCAGTAGCTTCTATGCTATTTGTTTTTGCTTAGTTGTTGTTATTGGGTAATCCCCATTGTTGGATATTTTCTCCTATGGCTATCTCCTTATATTGATTGTTTATTGGTTTTCTTCTTTGATGATTTTCGGTATTATACCATAGCTATTAACGATTTGCAAAACTATAGAAAACTAAGAAGTTGGTGTGCTTGACTTGTGTGTACTTATTTGTTATAATTTCATTTTGTGCTCCACAAACTCCAGCTGGTTAGTTCTTAATATTGGAGGTGTTGGAGCCAATGTTTGGCTTTTCAGGCTGGATGAATTTTATAGCAGTAAAATAATTTTTTATTTATATATGTGAATGATTCATTTTTAGCCATTTTTATGGTAGTGCTAATTTTTTCCAGTCACATGCTATGGTGCTTTTGTGCCATTGTTAGTTTATTCTTTGTGTTGTGAGTTCATATTTATTTTTCTTTCAATGATATATAAAGTTGTGATGAATCATGATTTACATTCACACCACTCATATTTTCATATCTAACACAAACTTCAACGCATACACGCATTCCATCTTTTCACCTATTCATGAAAGGTGTATTCCACTTTAACAATTTTGAAGAATGTTTGGTAGTACCATATCGATTATGTGTTTCTGGTTTTTTTTCCTTAAACCCCATGGCATAAAATTGAAAATTTAATATCATATATCAATCTATTAGATACAATTGTAAATGGGCAACACAAGAGACAACTAATCATCCGCTATATGAGAAAAAGAAATAATTGTGACATTTGTTTGAAGGAGATTGAATTACGAAATGAGCTAACTCATTTCATCAAAGACGGTTTATACATTATAAAAAAATTTAAGAGAACCAGAAGATTGTATGACCGAACTCAATTAAAGAATAAATGAGATCAATTAAAAAAGATTGAAAAATTTAGAAAGAGTTCAAAAGGAGATCTAGTGGACTTGGTTAGTATCCAATTAAAAATGCCATAGATACATGTCGACAAATTGATGGAAGTGGAAGTTAGAGGTGAAATAAATTTTAAGATATTTATATTTTTATTTCATTTATACGTAGAATTTTAATAGATTTATTTTCCTTTTGATTGTAAATTTAGGTTTGGCGGAATCAAACCTGAGATGGAGTAAAAACTTGATCTCATGTTTAGTTGCGTTGTTGTGATCTATAAACATGCATGGACTCTTCAAGGTTTGCAAGAACGTAGAGAGCCCAATTGATTTTATCTAATAAATGAACATAGTGAATCTGGTCATGTTAGGACTCCACCTTTTTTAAAAGCAAGAGCAGGGCACAGTGAAAAAGTTGGTTGTGTGTTTCTCAGGAGTTAAATATCATTATTAGTTACAACATGCAAACACGTTTTTTCTGATGCTAATAGCTCGAAACCATCTTCATCTATTCCTGATGTGATAAAAATATTAGAACAAAAAAATGAAAGTTTATGATGATATTTCATTATATCTATGCTCACTAAAGCTACATGAAGATCTTGTTAAGAGTTTTTCATATCCATGACACCTGAAAGGAGAATTCATTACTCGCGCTTCTACAAAAATCGCAATGACTGATTCATATTAGTTTTAGGTGTTTTGAGTGGAGTATACTTGATATTTTTGTAGAACTACTTTTGATGTTTATTTTTTGGTAGAACACCTAATCGTAATGTTAGTTCTTTTGATGATTGTTTTGTAGAACAATTATTTTTAATGTTATCATTTGTGATGTGTCATCTTTATTGTCATGAATTCATGATATTTTGTATTTCGATGTTAATTTTATGATATCTTGTGTTATGATGTATATACTTGTGATATCTTATGTTTCGATGTAAATACTTGTGGTATATTCTATTGTGATGTTTATACTTGTGATATATTGTTTTGAGATGTTAATGCTTATGATATATTGTGTTTTGATGTTGTAATTGTGATGCATTGTGTTGTGATGTCATATTTGTGATATCATGTGATGCTACATTAGTACTTGTGCTATTATATTGTGAAATACATCATTTGTAATATTTATTATGTAACAATATTTATAATTTTTACAGCAATAAACACTAATGACATAGACATAGAAAACGCTGCAAAACAAATAAATAACTGTATGTGTGCTGAGTGCTATGATTCATACATCTCTCACACTTCATATATGATGTCGACATTTATAGGGGACAAGTGGATAAACGAACTGTTGAGATTCTATTATTTGTTTCGTATGAGTCAAGTAAACTTAGTTGATTTTTTGAATGAACTGTACACTAGTCATGGTCTATGTGGCTCTTCTAAAATGACTTCGGGGGAGGTATTATTTATAACACTTTATATTTTGTTGCATAATGAGCCTATAAGATTAACTTGTATGAGATTCCAACACTCATTCAAATTTATCAGTAAATATTTTTCTATTTGTTTGAATGTTTTGTTAAGTTATTCTTCTGAAACTATCAAACCTAACGATCCAAACATTCAAAATATTCCTAGGGAAATATCATGCAATTATCAATATATACCCTATTTCATTGTATATTTCAATCATTTTTATTTTTTAAGAAAATTCAAAGAATATTGAAATCTAAATTGATTACTGTGATACATGATTGTATTGATGATATTAATATGATGCAATGTTGATGCACGTGTATCAAATGCTGATAATGTTGCATACATTGGACGTCGTGATTCACCTACACAAAATATCCTGCGTCACGACTCAACCCGGGGTTTGAAATTAATCAAAGCAAGTACAAGACAATTGGACAGTGGGAATTAATTTTTTTATATTCATTTCTATAACAAACATTTAACAATTGAAAGAGTAACTAAAGAAATTAAATTAAGACACTACATTTAAATTTCTCTTATTACAGGTTGTTCGCGTCTGCTATATTCATTTTTTTTTTATTTTGCACATCTTTTAATTAGTTAATTATCCCTAAAATGTTAGTTTAAAACAATAGTGAGCTAACTAAAGCCCGTGAATACTCATAAGCTACAGTAATACAAGAAAAAAGAAAATAATATGCATCTCAACCGTCTTTTAATAAATCATATAAAACATTTGATAGTTTAAAAATATGATCACTTACGATGTTTCATGTTATTTAATGAGTTTTACTATATCAATAACATATTTATATCATTCAATATTTGTACAACCATCATTGGAACATCGTCTAAAAACCTGTGTTAGTTAAGATACTTCAATATTAATCTTCTTTTTATTTACTTGCGTGAGTACTATAAAATAGTAACTCTATCATAGTCAAATATGCACATATAAACATACTATAACAAACATTATCTAATATTAATTCTTTCATTATCATTTTTATAGCAGTCAATATAATTACACACGAATCCATCTCTATGATAATTTTAAACAATACTGAGTGTATATGTCACTCCAATGATTTGAACAAAACTCAATAGAACCATAAATCATCGACATGCAATACTATAAATATAATTGTAAAAATAACTTTATCTGGTCGAGCAGAAGCAAAATATCACTATAGTATAAGAATATGTGTACTTACCTCAAAAGTGTATGACTTGCTTTATGGTCGTCAACTTTTTTTCTAGATCTGAATCTGAATCTTCTATAGCTTGAATCCTGATTTTAAATGCACTTAAATTTAACATTTAATATATATATATATATATATAATTTTATTAAATAACTTAATTAAATATTAAAACTCACCCTTTAATCTCAATCGAAAGTCCACTTACACACCCGAACCTGTATTCCTCTACGCGTGAGATCTGGCTCTCTCTGATATGCTCAAGCCTCTATGTCGTCGCTCTTACCTGCCTGACGCCGCTACTTCCATAGGATAGCCTACCTCTTCTACTGTACGCGAGGCTCGTCTCCTTTGTTAGAGCTTGAGCTCAACTTCGTTCGCTCGATCTTGAGGACCCATCTCCTTCCCCTGGTCGAACACACAAGCAGAGCCACTCTTCTCCCTTTGTTGTACAGAACTTCCTGGGGTGACTTTGCCTCCGCTGTCATGCCTCTGTTCAATAACACCTCCTTCTGTGGTGTCCTCTTCTTTGTACGTGTCATTCTACATGTAAATCGATCCGACTGTGATGATTTATAGAGCGAAAATACTCTTTCATGTCCCCAATTCTCCGCTTCATCCCCTCTTCGACTCTTCACACACACACACTCTCTCTCTCTCTCTCTCTCTCTCTTCGACTCTTCACTTTCTGTCATTAACTTCGTGAGGAAATGAAATGGAGCATCACAACATGCGATTTTAATGTATTTTTTTTAATCATAGCTAGTTGGGAGGACAGTGCTCACGATAGCTAAATTTTTAAGTTTGCAACACGATCTCATCTGCACGTATTTCCCTTACTGTAAAGGTTGGTTGACTATCAAGTAAGTCTTATGTTAACTTTTAATAGAATAACTGATGGTTGGCTATGCTAACTGGAAAATATTATTTAGTGGATGTTGAATTTCCATTACGACTATGTTTTCTTAAGTCATTTTCGAACAGAAAATATTACATTCTAGATTTCGAAAGGGCTTGTCAAATTGTGTGTGGAAGGAATTTATTTTTAAAAGCGCCACTCATCATTACAAAGCGTCATTGAGAGGGCTTTTGGAGTTTAGAAGAAAAAATATGATATACGAGATATGCCGACAAATTCTTTCGAAGAACCGATTAAAATTATTGTTGCAACAATGACACTGCATAGTCACATATGACGTCATCACTCACATTTTGATGTTGACTTTACAAGTGTAGATTAAAACAAACTAGTGCCTTCTAAAGCATATGAATATTGATTGGTCAATCGATGATGAATATTGATGGTGATATTGTCAACCATTGCATATGTGATAGATAAGGTGTTGATGAGATGGCTATGTT